GTGCACTCAAAGACATTCACATCACAGTGACCATGGGGTTTATGAGCATTTGTAACTTTTTATAATTTCATGTTGCATTTCTCATAGTATGGACAACTTTTTGCCACTAACTGGATTCTCCATATATTCACATCCTGAAGATGTTGAATAATCATTTTACAAAGCAGTTTTCTGAATGGGGATTAGTTGGTGATTGTTTGTAACAAATATGCTAATGCTTTAGAAATGTCAGTATTTTTGTAATTATTTCTACCTCCAAATATATATATATATTGTCTTTCACTGGATAATGTGTGTAGATTTACATGTGCCTTATTTGACAATGCTTAAGTCTTGTTTTTACCTGTCTCATTTGAAGTCTTTATTATGTTAAAGAATGCAGCAGTATAGGTTTTTAGCCTTCATTTTATTGCTATTTGAAGCAGATGTTCACCAATGTCAGTGAGAACTCAGCCTACAGCGAAAGGTGGCTTTCCATCTACTAACGTCCCCGGTCCTCTTCCTACTTCTGTAAAACACATTTGTTTGGCTAGGCACTAAGTTGTTTTCCAGTGAGTAGTAACTTAAGTCTTTCTCCTGCTCTGTGGCTCAGTTCCTTTTTTCATTTTCTTACTGCGCTTCTGTGCTCATTAACTCTGCCTGTTCTTGTGTGTGTTACATCAGTCTCCTCTCCCGCTTTCGCTTCTCTGAACTGTTGCCCAGTCACTTCTGCTTCAGTTCTCTCTTGTATTTTCTACGACCACACCACAGATCAGCAGAGACTGTGACGTGTCTCTAGGCCAGCGGAACAGACTAACTTAAAGTACTTCACTTCAAAGGAGACTGGATGTGACTCCATACGAAGGCAGCATTAGGTACTGCATGGAAATAGGTCACTAACGTTAAATTCTTACCAAAATATAATTATCAGTTTCCAGGATTTCCAACACAAGACCACCTGAAGAGAAGCCATTGTTCAATTCCAGTTCAGTGTGGGTGACAAAGTGAAATTTAGAAGTTAAATTTCAGTCTTTATTAACTGTTCCTTTAAATTTTGCCTGTCAATCTATATTGCTGTTTTTATTATACACCAGATTCTTTGTACAACTTGTGAGTTTTGTGTTTTGTTTTTATTATGTAAATATCATTATAAATAAACTTATTTATAAATGAGAGGTTTGTTAATTATTGGAGTTCATACTTTTCGAGACGTCCTGACTGCTAAGGTGCTAGGTAAGCTATTAGAAGGTTGATATGCTCTTACAGCTCCACACTCAGTAGTATAATTTTGCTGCCAAATGAATATATTAGATAGACAGTGGCACTGCAGAGCTGCCAGGAACCTGCAGGTGACAGTGCTACTACCTCCTCCTGATCTCAGTACCCAGATCACTTAGCAGGTTGTTGGGAAGCATACCTCTTAAAGCCACAGTAAATTTCTCTTCACTTTTCTGTATGAATGTATCTCCCACATAAGGCATTTTTGTTGTGTTGTTAATATTTCTTCTAATGAAATGTAGTTGGATTTTCCCTGTAATAGTCTATTATTATGTCTTGGGTTTAATAAAAAAATATTTGCGACCATTAAGTTGTATTTCACACCCTTTGTAATAGATTTTAACTCTCTTTCAATCCTTTCTCATAGAAGCAGATAGTATTAAGCAGAAATGGGATTGTCTCGTGCTCAAGAAATTGTTTGGCAAATTGGGATTTGTTACTTAGAATGAATCCTCACTTGTGTCTTCATTGGGTTGGTGCCATTAAACATTACAAGCCATTAGCAGAAAACATACAAAAGCTACAAGTTGTTAATATCATGACTAGTTGATGCAGGTGTTTTGTTTCTTTGTTTTTGGTTTTTTTTTAGACAGGGTTTCTTTGTGTAGCCCTGGCGGTTCTGGAACTCACTCTATTGACCAGGCTGGCTTTGATCTTAGGAATATGCCTGCCTCTGCCTCTGGAGTGCTGGGTTTAAAGGTATATGCCAGCAATGCCCAGCATAAGGTAGGTTTTATTTTATTTTCTTAGTACAAGTCACACATGGATAATAAGTGTGCCTTATGTATGTAGGACAGGCAACTCTGGCCAGTAGGAATTCCAGAGGAAAGGTGTGGATAGGTCAGAAGATGCTTTCTGTTGGTACAGCTCTTAAGTAGCCCATAAAGGAGAGATTTACCTTCACTGCCCTTCTTGACATTTAAAACATATTAAATATTGCCCTATAGAACATGCAGTGGTTACATTTTACACTTGAATCATAGAAATATGTAAGTCAACTTGCTAAGAGTTGTATCCATTGCTTTTCCTAACTTTTATTTCCATTAAAGACTAGCTTTAAGGAGTGGAATATGGAAGGAAATGCCTAGACAGAAGCACTACTACCTTCATTAAAAACATTGAAGATTTCTTTTTACTGTACATTGTTTCAATCACATGATAGCTACCTGTGCAATGAGATTCTTTTTTATTTCATTAGCAGCCACCAATAACAAAATTTTATCCAAAAGATCAAGTTCCTTAGTTTTTGTCTATTGCATATATAATAACATACAAGCCCCCTCCCCCGCCATACACACACAAATCAGAGAACACTGTTCTAAGGAAAGAACACATCCAGCTAAATAAGCCCACCTAGTTAGACATATATTTTTTTTTTCACTGTACTCTCTGCCCTCCCCTCTGTCTCGCCTGTTAACGATTAAGTTCTCTCTCCTCTGAACCTCATACAGAGCATAAAACCATCTGCTTCATTAGTATTTCCATGTATGCTGCAAAATACCAAATAAACATTTGTCATGCCAGGGTATAAAGCAAAAGTCTGGTTTCCAACACTTTAGTTTAAACTAGGAATTGAGGCATGACAGCAGAGAAATAGGAGGCTTGCAATGAGTTTCAAGGCAGTTTGGGCCAGATAGTGCATTCTAGCAAAATAAACAGTCCTCAAGGTTAATTTAAATACTACTAACTAGAAGATTCTTTTAAGGATGGTTATTGACTTTCGTTTATTAAGATGTGTGTGAGTGCACATGCCAGAGTGCCTGAGGGTAGGTCAGCAGGCCATAGTTAAGAAGTCAGTCTTTTCCTTCCCTTACGTAGGTGCCAGGGATTGATCTCAGGTCTTCAGGTTTGGCTGCAAGTGTCTTTATCTGTGGAGCTATCTCACTGGCCCACAGAGGATTGTGTAGAGAATTACTTTCCACATTTTGTCTCTTGCTTCCCAGCCACCATGAGGTAAGTAAGCAGTCATTTTTGCTCCACACTGCCCACCATGTTATTTTACTTCTCCACAGATCTAAACCAAAGGAGCCAGCCAATCATTGGGCTGAAGTCTATGAGATGGAGCCACATCAATCTTCCTTCCCTATAAGCTGTGTGTATCTATTACAGTTTGTCAGTGATAAAAAGCTAACTAACAGATTTTGTTTGGTTTTCCAAAGAAGTTTCTTGCTCACGCAACACTAAGGAACAGTTTGGTACCAGTTATCCACCTCTGGTCTCCTGTAAGTCACAGTTTGCTTTGCAGCTGATTTTTGGTGTTCTGCGCTCTTAGTTTATAAATGTAAGATGTACTTACATTTTTAAATGTAAGATGTACTTACATTACTTATAAATGTAAAAATGCACGTGCCACGACAGACAGCCTCCCACGTAACTGTCCATTTGCCACCAGTTTTGTCCTTATCACCACTGCCCTGGACAGCTTCTCAACCTCAGCTGTCCTTATCATCTAGCTTTTTCCAGCATTATATGTAGTTGGATTCTTTCTGTATAGACTCTTTCCTTTTAGCTGTGTAAGTTCATGGCTCTCCCATGTTCTGTTCATGGCTTATTAGCCCTAAGTAGCCATTCCTGATCTGATCTGTATGCACCAAAGTTTCTCTCTCTCTCTCTCTCTGTCTCTCTCTGTCTCTCTCTGTCTCTCTCCCTCCCCCCTTTCGGGGGTGGTTTCTGAGACAAGGTTTCTACGTATAACAGTCCTGGTTGTCCTGGAATTTGCTCTGTAGACCAGGCCAGCCTTGAACTCACAGAGATCCGCCTGCCTCTGCCTCCTGAGTACTGGGACTAAAGATGTGCACTGCAACCTACCAGCCAAGGTTTATTCCTCTATTTCTTGCTGAACAGTTTTTAAGTTTTGACAGCTCTATGGAACACCCAACACATGTGTTCAAGCTTAGTGTGGGCATGCTTTCCGGTCATGTGGGTGAACACCACAGAGTGAGACGTTTTGTGAAAAACTAGGCCACACAGTGCTACCTTCTGCATTCTGCCAGTGGTTAGGCCTACTTCCCATTACCTCTCTGCCTCTCCAGTGTATCTTTGATGTCTTTGATGTCTGCACTGCTATTCTGATTCCCTGAGGCCATTGTATTGCCACCTCATGTGAAGACATGCTCATGGCCACCTATGTATCCTCTTTAAGTGCCAGCTTCTTGGCTGACAGTAACCAGGATATTTATTTCCTTACTATTAACTTTTCGCAGGTCTTCATTTTCAGGAACAATCCTTTACTAGGTGAATGTTCTGCACACACTTCCTCCCGTCTGTGAGTTGCCTTCTCATTCCACTGATTTTTGATTTTTGCTGCGAAGGTTTATTGTAACCCACTGTCCCTTGTCTCGGGCAGCAAACTTTCTATGTCACATCTTGTGTATTTGTCAGTGAGCTGATGAAGCCCCTTTGTCTACAGCCTTCTGAATTGTGGCAGTGCTGAAATCACAGTCAGCGTTCATTTTCTGTAACTCTGCTTTTGTTGGATTTGAATTAAACTCTAACATTGTTCTTAAATCTTTAGGAGTTCCCTCTTTTTAGTACCAAATTTGTGACATGTCAGACAGGTGTGTATTTTGGGGAAGCAACCTATACATTTTGGTGTATGCCTAATAACACAGTGGTGACCAGTGACATGGTTGGCCACTGAGCATTGGTTTTTAGTGTAGCGATTTGTTGATTGTAGATCTACCTTCAAAAATCTTTATTTCACCTCATTTCTTGTAGTTAAAATGCTGTGCTAATTGACACACTAGCCAGAAACATGGTATTTTTACTAAAGCATCTCTGCATGTTTGATAATCAATGCAAAGGAATATGTGTTATGAACTATTTCTCTCCAATTATAAAAAGTACAAAGTTCTGAAAGAGTAAAATACTGTAAACTAAATGCCAACAGAAACAAAAACAAAACAGAGAATCATAGCAAGCAAACTACAACAAAGAGTCCAGTTGGTAGTAAGAAGTGTGTGGATCGTCTGGCAGGCAGTTGTAGCTCTCATCTGGTGTTGGGGCCTGTGTCAGAACTTGGTCTGGGGCCTCTTTTGTACCCAGGCAGCAATGGCAGGGATAGCTTGGACTTTCTTCCTCAATGATGCCAGCCTGGGGTGGATGTCCAACAAGTCAGGCTTTAAGACCAACAGCGTGGTGCTGCAGACATCCCAGTAGAAGTCTGCCCAAGTTACCTGTTTCAAAGAAAACCAAGACTTGCTATTGAATATAAAGCTGTGAGCGTTCCAAAAGTAAGTTTAAATTCTTACTCTAAAGAAACATTCCACTTTTAGAACAACTCTCTGTTAGCACAGAAGCTGAGTCTGTATGATAGAATTAGGGAGTGACAAGCAGCACAGTGCCTGAGGGACACGCGAATACTGTCTGACTTGGTAGAGGGGCCTGAGAGAGGTGGTTCGCAGCACACAGTCCAGTGCTGTACCGCCTTGGAGCCGGGTCCAATTTGACAATACATTTTCAAAAGATGTAGCGCATAGATTTCCATCTGTTTCAAAAGCTCCTTGTACGACAAAGCAAAGCAGGCTCGTTCCCGGTGTATACATGCCAGAGTACATACTTTAACTCTTGTAATCGAGAACTGTGGTCTTTTGTATGCCACAGCGATTCCACACCTGTCCTGCAGATATCCTGCTCGGGGGTCTGAGATTATTCTAGTATGTTATCTACCTTGTTTCTTTGTGGTCTAAGGTATAAAGCAGTAAACAGTGTATGAGTTTTCCCTTCAGGCTCTATAATTCCAAGGAAAAGATTTTGGGTAAAATCCATTATCTTTGCAACATATAAAGACAAATAACTATATAGGTATTTGGCCCTTAATGGAATCTTGAAGTTGGCCAAGGCGAAGGGTACAGCCGGCCGTAAGCCTTGGTCAGCTGAGTGTTCTCCACTGTTAGTTGAACTGCGTCTGTGGAGTATTACATTGATTCTATGATCACATTAGCAGAGTGAAATTTGCTTTGTTTTTTGTTCACTTTTTAATTTTTGCTGTTGGAGACTGTCTGACACTGTAGCATGTTTTTCTGGAACTTCCTCTGGAGATGGGGCTGAGGTGGTAGCGTGTTCCCACAGGCTGGCTACAAAAGTGGAATTTAAGTATGAACTAAGCTCGCCTGTGTGTGCGTACTCTATACATGTGTGCACAGTTTGTGTGTGACTGCTGGTGATTCACAAGTTTGCTGTCATCTATGAGAGATTGCTGCTCAGAGGATTTACAGTTCAGCTAAGAAATCTTCTTCAAGTACCTGTTGTGTGTCGTGCTCACATCTAGGTGTTAGGGACGGTAGAGAGCAAGCTGGGATGCAATGCCCTGCTCTGATGCATACTTGTTTGTTTGTCGTTCTGTGGATCCAAGTCAGGGCCTTCAAATGCCACTGAAGCTCATCCCCAGTCTGGGACTTTGTTTTAGCAGAGAGCAATCAGTGAGATGGCTGATGAAGGGAAAGTGGAATGACTAATGTGTGCAGGGAAACTCTCTAAGAGCTGATGTGTACTAACCAATGGTCGAGACGTGCCCGTCTTAGTGAGTTTTAGCTGGAAGTGTGGCATGTCTAGTTTGGAACAGTGCAGAACAGGGAGAGAGATAGAGAGCGAGAGAGCGAGAGCGAGAGAGAGAGAACGCTCAGGAGTGGGGATGGAGTGGTTTCCAAAGGGATTTTAATAGGAATTTTTAAAAAATCAGTTACTAGAAATTCCCAAGAAATAGGGAAGGGAAAGGACAATTTAGAAAATTTAGAAAAGGAAAGTGGAAGTGAGGGGCTGGAAGACTGAGGAGGTGTAGGGACAAGGTAGGCTGATCAGAGCCACCCAAGCCACAGACAGCACCCTTTCTCTTATCTTCCACACACAGTAGCCCAGAAGGCTGAGAAACCCCACCTACAGCAGCACTGAGGTCAGTCAGATTTGATTGGGGCAGAGCATGCTCCTGCTCTGAAAGCATGCCTGTAGCATCTGCCCATTGTCCCTCTGCGATATGGGTGGTTTCTGGCAGCTGCTAGCTGGGCCCATCGCTTCTTTGGGGTTGGAAAGTGATGGCGTTGATTCTAATCCTGTATTTATGACTAGGGTATTTTCTGACAAGAAATGTGTACTGCCTGCAGAAAAAGGCAGAAGACCAAGTCTCTTACATTAGTGTCTGTTCTTGAGAGGCTTCTGTCTCTACAGCAAACATGGAGCCGGGTTGAGAGCTGTGCTGTATGTTTAGATATAGCAGAAGTTACCATAAGCTCCTCTATTTTGTTTTGACTTGTTTGAATTTGCTGCTGTTAATATTCTTATTTGAAGGCGTAAGTCACAAACAATCCCACACCGCAGCCCATCACTACACTCATTGAAGCCTGTATTCCATTTCTAGCCATTCTTGGTCTGACTTCTGAATCCTTTTGATACTCAAAACAACAAACAAATGGAAATTCATTTACTTCTAGTAGAAAAAAGTACTCACTATATTTCTTTTCTCAAATTGGGAATAAGTCATTTGTCCACTGGTGTGGGATGTCCTTTTGTATCTGTGTTTTATTACCATTGGCTAATAAAAAGAAGCTGATCTGGCCAATAGCCTGGCAGAATGGAGCCAGGTCAGAAATCCAAACAGAGACAGAGGGAGAAGGTGGAGTCGGAGAGATGCCAGCAGATGTCAGGGAAGCAAGATGTGAGGTAGCAAGCCAGGAGCCTCATGTTAAAATACAGAATAATAGAAATGTGTTAATTTAATTTTTAAGAGCTAGCTAATAATAAACCTGTTGGGCCAATCAATTTTGTAATTAATATTAAGCCTCAGAGTGGTTACTTGGTAACTGGTGGGTGAGAGAGAAACATCCAACTATAGTCTACAAATCCGCAGTTCCTTATTTAGGAGACCAGAATCTGGGTATAAGGAATTATCATGATAACTGGGTTGTCTTTGTCTCCTCCTTTCTCACTCCAAAGAGCCTGCTTTAAGTAACTTCAAGTGTGATTTCTGATTACTGCACTCCCCCGTGTACAAATCATAATGTCATTAAAACAATACCAACAGTGCCCAGAACTGCTAATAGTTCTACTGACAGTGGCATGTGGGTTTGTTTTCCTGAGAATCCTACGGGTCTGATTGCAGTGCCTTGCATGAAAGGTGTATCCTGGGGCTGGGGAGATAGTTCGGTTGGTAAAGTGCTTGCCGTGCCAGCATTGTGAGGAGCCAAGTTTGAGCCGTAGAACCCATATACAAAAGCTGGATGTCATGGCGCCGTCTTGTGATCTCTGCACTGGGAAGACAGAGGCAGGCAGAGCCCTGGGGCTCAGGCCAGCTGGCCTCGCCTGACTGGTGAGCTCCAGGCCAGTAAGGGATCCTGTCTCACTAAACGAGATGGACTATGTCTGAGAATTAATGTCTGAAGTCAACCTGTGGCCTCCATATCATCCCCCCACAGATCTCACACACATGTACACGTGTACACACACATGCACTAAGTAGTTCTTATTGTATTCCTATGTATGTGACACAGATTTTTAAGATAACTTTTTAAAATTATTATATATAATTATATAAAGTATTCCATGACTCCAGATCAGATCTGTGTAGAGAGTAAGTTTAGTGTTTTTTTCCGCCCTCTTTTTACTGTAGTTTCTGAGTGATATCTGCCACCCCATTCTTTCTTCTTTCCTTTCTGAGACAGGGCTCAGGCTACCCAGGCTGGCCCCGACCTGCTGTGCAGCCTCTCATGTGCTGGGATGACAGACAGTCATGACCATGCCTGACTAGAACAACATTTTGCTCTGTAAAGTTTTAGTTTATCATCTTATCTAAATATAAGTGCTGATATCTTTAAACATGGCATGTACTCACATAATCACCAATAAACCACTCTCTGTCCCCTAAGTATGTGTCCAAATCTTTCAGAAGAAGAGGCGCATGGCATGTTAGCAACTCCTTGAAGGTCCGTTCCTAGGAGAGAGCAGATATCCTCGTGAATGATGGGAAGAATCAGTGTAATCTGAACAGAGCTTAGAGGGGATGAGAGTAGATAGGCATTTGTTCTTCCTCATTATGATCGCAGAGAGACCCAGCCATCTATTACTCAGGTTTTTAAAGTACATTTATTCTCTCTCTCTCTCTCTCTCTCTCTCTCTCTCTCTCTCTGTGTGTGTGTGTGTGTGTGTGTGTGTGCACATACATGTGCCACAGTGCCTGTGTGGAAACCAGAAGGCAACTTTTAGAAGTCAGTTCTCCCTTTCCACCAAGTAAGTCCCAGGGATCAAACCCAGGTCCTCAGGCATAGCAGCAAGCTGAGCCATCTCACCCACCCTATTACTTACTCATTTTAAAATATGTTTTGTTACCAGTTTCATTATGTAGTTTCATCACCTGTGGTATTATGTTTCACAGGAAGGTGTCACTTAAACATTTTACACACACACACACACACACACACACACACACACATATATCATATTTCCTGCATTCATTCTAGTATTTTAGACTGGTAGTTTCTGTTGTTTGTCTACTGTGAGCAGTGCCACCATAAACAACGGTGTTCAATTGTCTTTGTGGTGTGCTGATATGGCGGCCTTTGGTTAACACTCAAGAGGGACGTAGTCAAGTCCTGGTAAATCAATTCTGCTTTTATGAGAAACCCCCATGATTTTTCGTCTTAGTTTATTGTAATAAAAGGTTATTAAATTTCGATCACTAAAATCCCCTGGTAATACAGGGCCTTTAGAGTTACATAACAGCTGAAAGGAAGTAGAGGTGCTGGGTTCTCCGAGGCCGGACACTCCGCTTCTCTTTCTCCACTCATTATTGCACTTGGTGGATATAAAAGGCTCTAATGAATCATGACACCCGTGGGGCCTTTCATGAGCGCTGTCTGCCTTGCATATCATAGATAGGACATACCAACCCTGCCCTTTCAGTAAGTTCACTGCTATAAGTAAATATTATCCTGAGAAAGGAAGAAAAGTGCAAGACAGATGCCGCCTTTATCACACATGTATGTTTTATTGAATGGGAAGGCCAAAGTAATTTATTCAGTGCCTCTTAGTGAGATGTGGTTGTTCCTGCTGGACACGGTGGTACAGCCTGTGAACTCATCTCCCTGAGAGGCTGAGGACTGTAAGTTCTGGGCACCATAGCAAGACTCACTCTCACAAGATAAAACAAACATTAGCAACAACAAAGAATTGTTCTGAAAATAACACTTTCTGGGTTAGTTTGCATCAGAAATGAACATTTATTAGTCGAGGCTAGCCTGGATCTCTTGGACAACTGTACACAATGGGGACCTGATGTGGCTTTGTGAAGGCCATGTGTGCTTTCTAATGGTCACATCCACATTGTTAGGTTCAAATAAGAATTTGTAATATACAAAGTAGTGATCATTTTTTTAGCTCAGATTTTCTTTATAACTTGTTGAATTATTTCCAACAAAGAAAATTTAAATTACTACAGATAGCATAATCATTTCTTAAGGTTCATTTTTAAATAACATGAGGTTTAATAATTTTATCTTTTGTTTTAAGTGTTTGTTTGTGTGTGTGGGGGCTTGTGCATGCTAGATAAACACACCGTTACTGAACTATACATCTTCCACCCCATATGTGTTTTCTGTTCGTTCTAGATGGCTATTCTTTGACTTGAAGGACTAAGAAAGCACCCAAAAGGATGTAAAACTTTGTCTGTTTCTCACTGTTTCCAAATTGTCACTACCGATGCTATTCTGTGTTGAAATAGAAATGTAAGAATTATCTCTGTCCTGTGTGTCTTCTATCTCCACTCTGATCTTCAGGCAAGGAAACGAATATAGACACATTGGGTTGTCAAATAATAAATACTTGCAATAATTTCAAAAGCAGTGCTAGTGACCAATGTTCAGAGACATATTTCATTTAATCCTTTAAGATTGGAAATGGGCCTTGAACGACAAATACACAAATATCAGCAGTTGTTGTATCGCCTGCATTTTTTTCGAGAAGATATAATGACTATTTCCAGTGAGACTTATGTGGTGGCCCACACCTGTAGTCCCAGCACTCTGGTGCAGGGACAGGAGGACAGCAAAGTCAGCCTGGGCTGCATAGCAAGACCTGGCCTCACCCACAGGATGTTTGTTTGTATTCCCATCTTACTGCAGTTACTTTGAGTTTGAAATTGCCACTTGACCACAAGGTGGCAGCAACTGACCCTGCTGCCTAAATAGCTCAAAACAAACTTTTCGTGGATGGCGTACTCTGTGTCAATGCCTCTGCTACATTTTCTTTTGCATAATTTGGACCCGAATCTGGGTTTCTGTGTTTTCTGAACATGGTTTAAGATATGGAAAAGCCTCAACTACTGTGATACTCACAAAGCTGGAGTTCTACCACCAATGGCCAGAGATACTCTTCTCTGGGAGAGTATACACATCCTCTGTCATCGGTCCTCGGTCACAGAAAGACAGAGAACAGAGAAAGGCAAGCTGGGAAGATGGCAGACTGCCTAGCAGAGAGGTCTTTGGCATACTGGACTAAAACCTTTATACATTTTCTTTTTATATTGGGGAGCATGACATATTTGTCTGTGTGTTTATAATGATATGTAAAATAGGTTTCACACTTGAAAAATAGAAGGGCAAATTAACACAACGTTGTAACATATTAATAATAGCTGATGCTTAGTAAACACTTCCACCTTGTCATAGGTATATACTCTGCCATTGATGCTCTCAGTGTGCTTCAAAGGAGAGTCCATACCTGTACTTCACATTCAAAGAGTTTGAACTATGAAAAGGGATATAAATGTCAGTGGGAAGAAGACAATCTGATTCACCCAGTGTAAGACCCCAGAGCCCAAATACATTATGTCAAAAAAGTTGTTTTACATTTATGTCTTCAAAGCTGAGCTTTCAAGTTTCTCTCTCTCTCTCTCTCTCTCTCTCTCTCTCTCTCTCTCTCTCTCT